TATAAAAATTTAGATTTATTAAATTTAATTTAAATATAGTACTAATTACTAAATATATAAAAAAAATAAAAATAAAAAATCACAATCATACTAAACGGAGTTTAAGGGTACGTTTGAAATTATGGTTAAAAATTTTTGTTTTTTAGCTATATTGTAGTTTTAGATAAATGAATGTTTGGAAAGTTTTTTAAAACTATTTTTTTTTAAATTGTGAAAAGTTATAGTAGTTCTATAATAATAATTTTATGGGTAATGGTTCATGCACACCATTCCGTTACGCACCCATTACACACTCTAAAGATTTTCGTTGTATGCACTAACACTCTCCAACTCACTCAACCCTTTCTTTCTCTCTTTTCTTTTCTCCTTGCTATTCATCGTCCTCACTAAATCCATCTTCCTCCTCACCTCTATCTTTATCCTAATCATTTGCAAGACAATTGCCAGCCGTATCAGGTTTCCACCTTCTTCCTCTTTTTATTTTTTTCTCCTGAGTTCTCCAAGAGAACCTAGATTTGGGTTCTCCTGGAGAACCCAAATCGGGTTAGAGTGTGTAACGGGTGTCATCCTCCTCCTGTGCTATTGTGCCACCGCAGGACTAGTCTTTGACAACTCCAATCTGATCAGATTGGTCTCCAATGGCCTCGGTGACTTTGACTCCTCTGTCCTCCAAGTCCTTGGCTACACTCGCCATGCTTTCTACTTCGCCTGTTTTGCTTACAGGTACAAGAAGAGGTATGAAAGCATGGAGATGAAGCTCCGGTTTCATATTTTCAAGGAGAATTTGGATTTGATCAAATCCATAAACAAGAGGGGACTGCCTTACACTCTTGTTGTTAATCACTCTGCTGATTGGACCTAGGAAGAGTTTCAAAAACATAGATTGGGAGCTGCTCAAAATTAACAGAAACTATTAGAGTGTGTTAAAATTAACAAAAACCGTTAGAGTGTGTAATGGGATGGTGTGCATAAATTAGCATCTTAATATTATATATAAAACTAAAATTTTCATTTTGAAGTTTTTTTACTATAACTTTTACAGACAACACTTAATTTTTAATATAATTATAAAATTACTTATTAAAATTTAACTTTATTTAATTCAATTACATCATCATTTATATTATTT